CCCCCAATATTTACAAATAGTCCCAGGGCTAAACTTTCCCATGGCAGTCAAAGAGGCCCACCCACGTCCTAAGACAAAGCTATAAAAATCATAAACTAATTGACACCATAATTAACAATAACAAATAACAATACATATTAAAAACAAACAAATGTGCAGACAGTCTGTTTCTGGGTATTTCATTTGCATTCTACATGACATCCAGTCCAGTGTGTGAAGCCATGACCTCGGCACAAGCCACCTCTTTGGCTGCTAGAGGTGAGATGACCGGGTGTTGGTGTGGTCGTTTCGACCTCTGGCCGTTGTGGTCGAACGCGGAGGTGAACCACCATGATCCAGAGACCTCGGGTGTGATGGATGCTTCGAGCGCAGAAGGCAAGAGTCCTGCAAGTGTGAGGTTTGGCGTGCTTGACCCTCTCGAAATGGGCAACTCGTCGGGGGAAACATATGCTTAAAACGTAGAACTGTAGTTTTCATGTCTTTTCCTTTTTTCGGTTTTCCCAACAACTCAGGGGATGGATGTCTTCAATCTGGAAGGTCCAGAGTCTGAACTTTGATACTCTACCATGCAGATGCAGAGGCCACGAACGTAGGATTGCTTAGGATTTCTAGACCTAGCACATGCAGGCCCTCATAGGCCCTCATTCCATTCAGTGGGTTGTTTGGATGTTGGAGACCTCGCAGCTAGAAAGATCCTTTGGGGGACCTGCATGTCCACCTATTGTTGGGAGTGTCCCTGCCGAAAGGGGCACTTGCTCTCGTCTCAAGCCACCAATCGTCAGCGGTTCTGAGGTGGCACGCCTTTGCCCGATGTGTCTGGGCGGCATCATGCACCTGTTGACAGGAGAAATACCAGAGCAGGTCGGAAAGAAAGTATAGTACCCCGGGTGTGTTTTTTTGTTCTTTTTGGTGAGGTGAGTATGTGTTAAACCTCTTGTTTGGTTCCTTGGTGCGTTGAGACACGTCGCACAAGACTTAGCAAGCAACGGCTTCCACATTTTCACACCGTGTGTAAGTGTAAGCTGGCGAGATGGACTCCCATTTGCTCCAGCTGATCGAAGCTACGGATGAGCCGCACGGTTCGAGTCGGCTGCCCAAGGGGCAGGACTTACTCACCGCTTGGTCAGGTGGCACTCAGGGAACTGCAGATCCCACATGCATTACCATGATGCGGCTTGGGGCGTGCTTAGGGCCACCGAAATTGCGACACATGTTGGGCATTAGAAAGCGGCCACACTGTGGAGAACCGACCATGTCCTTCAGGCACAGTCCAGGACTACTTCGCTTCAGATGAGTTTGGAGAGAAGGAAATGTCGATCCTATCCTGTCATCCTTTTGCTGTCCCGGACGAGTCTGAATTTCGACGGCCACTCGGCCGATTGGTGCCACTCCGCACTCCTCCACTCAACTCAGGCGACGACGGTGCCGGTGTCGCGCGTCTCCTGCGGCGCCCTCTACCGCGCGTGGACGCCGTCCAACGTCGCTGCGGAGTATGCGAAGATCGACTTGGAAGGCAACGGAAGGCGTCCGTCGACGAGGAGGGAAAGCCCGGCCTGGCCGGGCTTTTGGTGCTCCGTTGTGTTCGGGTCTGGGATAGCATGTGGCAGAGGAGGAAGTCTCAGATTGACATGCAGGCGAGTCCAGACTTAGAAGGAAACTTGGGGATTCCTATGGTCCCAAGTTAATTGTCCATGTGCAGAAGAGTGTTTGAGTGTTTGACGCCGTGCAACGTGCACAACTATTCCAACATCAGATTTGCAAGTTAAATTGAACTTCTACCTTGAACATTGAAGTCAACACCCCAATACGCCCTGAATGAGTTTGAACATCACCTTGGAGCAGGTTGATCTCCGTTTTCGCTACAACACTCCGCAGAACTGTTTTGTAGTTCAGCGGACTCGTTCATTTTGAGGGTCCCCCACATGGAGAGTTTATTACACTGGGAAGAGGGTCACTGTTTTGCAGATCCCACCTGCCATTCACAAAACTGCACCACAGTTCTTTGTTGCTGATCACCATATGCATCACCATCATCATCCAATTATGCGTGTTTGCTATGTGTTGCTTATGTTTGCTGTCGTTATAGTGAGAGATATTGAAGGTCACCCAACAGTTCATTATAGTGAGATATAACAATGGTATTTCAACACAGCTTTGGCGACTATTCCTCCTGGAATGCTACGTGGCTACGTGAGTTTCTCAGAGGAACCCAAATCACCTTGTAGCCCAAGATCCCAAGATATCCCAAACCTTCCAGAGGCTGTTTACAGCCCCAGCATGGGATCCAGTCCAGTCACCCTGATGACTACCTCCGATACGGCTCGACTCGGTTTTTCGCGGCTCGGGAGGCTCCGACCTGGATTGCCTTGGCAGCCTTTTGCGGAACTCCTCGAAGCTACCACGCTTCGTGTCGATGGAGGCGTTTTTGTTCGGGGTGGAGGAGGAGGAGGAGGAGGAGGAGGAGGGCGTTACACACGGAGGTGAGGTTCCTGCGGTTTTGAATGATTTTTGCATGTTAGGAACTTTGTTGGTTGCAACATGTTTATTCCTTGAAATTCTTGCAAGCTTGCTGGCTGATAGCGTGAGTGTTCCCGGATTGCGCAAAAACTGAGCTCCAACCTACTTCGAAACGTTCATCACTTGGTTCGTTTTCCCCAGACACTCCATGTATAGCATACTTAGGGGTGGTTGACCTGGGGTCCATGGGGCGGCATATGTTCCAGTCCCATTATATAGTCGTGTTTGGGTTCGTTTAAGTTTAAGGGATCCTTACGAGAGGATCCTAAGCTCTCGCGTTGCTTGGTGGAGGTGAAGGGCACCCAGCCACACCTAACCGCCGGAGGTGAATTTGGTGGAGGTCAAGGGGAAGCTCATTAAAGAGGCTGGGGCGAGCAACTCCCATAGTGAGTGTGATTCATTGTCCATGCGCAAAATGTCACACAGGAGGAGGAGGATTGCTTCCGAGCAGCTTTGGTACTTTGGTGAGAGAAGTACTGTTAGTGCTTGCATGTATCGAGTATTTACATCTGTCGAGTATTTACAGATATCTACTGTATACAACATGTACCAGCACCCTCCAACAGGTCACCACCTGCGACTTTTAAGTCTGCAAAAGCCACCAGGGGAGACCTCTTGGAGGTTCCTGGTATATGTTATATACTGTCGGTCTTTTCCGAGTCTGAGTGGGCATGAGGACAACGACTGATCAAAAGGTGGCAGCTACTAGAGCGTTGCTACAGGAGACGATGAAGCTGGCCATTGAGCTTCTCAGCATGCTGCAGGGCTCCTATTGCGAGGTCGGGTTCGTCCACCGATCGGTAGAGTGTTGAACTGAATCGAGTTGCATCATTTGTTCCCGGGATATGAGATACTTAACTTAGCTGCACGGATGACGGAGTGGCTTGTGGTTTGTGACCTCCAATGTTTCCGACTTAGCTACCTAGGTAGCTGTTTTCATCTGCCAAGTAGTGGGCTTCTTACGTATGTTCCGGCTGAAAAAGAGGGAAGGAGGGGCTTTCACCAAACTTGGAGAGGACTCAAGAGTCCACGAGGCTGGATTTTTGGAGGGCTCGCTGACCCTGGACTCGGGGGTCAGCGTGGGAAAGACCTGCAAAGAGAATACCTCCGGAAGTGGGCCCTCCCGGCGCCCATCCCAGTCCCACCTTCCCAGAACTTGTTTGACCAATCAATGACACATCCCTTCCCGGGCTCCTATGAAAGCACCTGCCAGTCTTGCAGTCTTGCGTACTTCACAGGTCACTACACCGTCTTTTTCCCTACACAACTCAGCACATCCCCCGACTTTCTTTCATGTTCTTTCTTAGTGCGTCGCATCTTGCAACTCAGCCCCTAGCAGACCATGAATTCCTTAATTTGGCGACGGTGCAATTAAAAAAGACACCACAGAAAAAGTATTTTTGTTGTTTTTCCGGAATGCGTAGCGAAGGGTTCTCGTTTAACTCTGGGGGTAGAGCCTTGTTCGCGACCCATGGTTTCTACATTCGCAACCGTCCGCAGGTGTTCGCAGTAGGGCGCTAAGGCGCTGCCATTGGGGGAAGCTTTTGGAGAGGGTTTCGGATGGAAACGTGTCAGATTCGTGTGAAATAGCGAGGTATCGTGTGGAAATGTAAGATGTTGAAGTTGGAGGATGATTTCACTGCGCATGTGCAGCGTTTTGTGAGATCCGCAGTTTGCTGCGCAGTTCCATTGGGATTAGCGTTTGGAGAGTCGTGTTTTTGGGGTGTTGGATGTGGCCGTGCCATTGGGATTTGCGTTTCAGGGTGTGGCATCGAAGCTCTGTTTTCGTGACAAGTCTCAGCTGAAATGGCGATTTTGACTTTTGGAGGAGGTGTCGTACGAAACGCTCGGTTGGAGACTTGACGCGTAACTTTTGGAGGAAGTCTCGCATGAAGCGCTCGTCTTCTAGTGTGTGGGCAGACCGTGTGGCGACGCGACGTTCGTGATGTGAGATTTGCGCAGCCTTGGTGGAAAGTGCGTTTGCGTGGCGCCGTGCCACTGGGGAGCGCGAAACATGCTGGCGTAAACACGGCGTGTCGCTGGTGAGCGGGATGATTTGTGGTATCAAGAGTGTCCCAAAAGAGTGCCCCGCAAGAGCTTCCTACAAGAGTGACCCACAAGAGTGTCCTACAAGAGTGTCCCAGATAGAGTGTCCCGTATGAGTGTCCCACAAGAGTGCCCCACAACCGTGTCCCACAAGAGTGTCTCACAAGAGTGTCCCTTAAGAGTGTCCCACAAGAGTGTCCTATAAGAGTGTCCCACAAGAGTGTCCTACAAGAGTGTCCCACAAGAGTTTCCTACAAGAGAGTCCCACAAGATTGTCCCACAAGAGTGTCCCACAAGAGTGCCCTACAAGAGTCCTACAAGAGTGTCCCACAAGAGTGTCCCACAAGAGGGTCCCACAAGAGTGTCCTACAAGAGTGTCTCGTATGAGTGTCCCACAAGAGTGTCCCACAAAAGTGTCCCACAAGAGTGTCCCGCAACAGTGTCCCACAAGAGTGTCTCACAAGAGTGTCCCTTAAGAGTGTCCTGCAAGAGTATCCCACAAGAGTTTCCTACAAGAGTGTCCCACAAGAGTGTCCCACAAGAGTGTCCCACAAGAGTGTCCTACAAGAGTGTCCTACAAGAGTATCCCACAAGAGTTTCCTACAAGAGTGTCCCACAAGAGCGTCCCACAAGAGTGTCCCACAAGAGTGTCCTACAAGAGTGTCTCGTATGAGTGTCCCACAAAAGTGTCCCGCAACAGTGTCCCACAAGAGTGTCTCACAAGAGTGTCCCTTAAGAGTGTCCTACAAGAGTATCCCACAAGAGTTTCCTACAAGAGTGTCCCACAAGAGTGTCCCACAAGAGTGTCCCACAAGAGTGTCCTACAAGAGTGTCCCACAAGAGTTTCCTACAAGAGTGTCCCACAAGAGTGTCCCACAAAGAGTGTCCTACAAGAGTGTCCCACAAGATGTCCCACAAGAGTGTCCCACAAGAGTGTCCACAAGAGTGTCCTACAAGAGTGCCCCACAAGAGTTTCCTACAAGAGTGTCCCACAAGAGTGTCCTACAAGAGTGTCCCACCAGAGTGTCCTACAAGAGTGTCCTGTAAGAGTGTCCCGCAAGGGTGTCCCACAAGAGTGTCCTGCAAGTGACCCACAAGAGTGTCCTACAAGAGTGTCTCACAAGAGTGTCCCACAAGAGTGTCCGACAAGAGTGTTCCATAAGAGTGACCCACAAGAGTGTCCCACAAGAGTGTCCTACAAGAGTGTCCCACAAGAGTGTCCCACAAGAGTGTCCTGTAAGAGTCTTACAGTGTCCTACAAGAGTGTCTCACAAGAGTGTCCCACAAGAGTGTCCGACAAAAGTGTCCCATAAGAGTGACCCACAAGAGTGTCCTATAAGAGTGTCCCACAAGAAGTGTCTCACAAGAGTGCGTGTAAGAGTGACCCACAAGAGTGTCCTACAAGAGTGTCTCACAAGAAAGTGTCCCATAAGAGTGACCCACAAGAGTGTCCTATAAGAGTGTCCCACAAGAGTGTCCTACAAGAGTGCCCCACAAGAGGGTCCCACAAGAGTGTCCCACAAGAGTGTCCCACAAGAGTGTCCTACAAGAGTGTCCCACAAGAGTGCCTACAAGAGCGTCCCAAAACAGTGCCCCGCAAGAGCTTCCTACAAGAGGACCCACAAGAGTTTCCTACAAGAGTGTCCCACAAGAGTGTCCCAGAAGAGTGTCCCACAAGAGTTTCGTACAAGAGTGTCATTTGGACATATGTAGCGTTTCGAACGTGTTTGCATTCGGGTTCGTGGGCTCCATCTTGTTTTTTTTCACAAAAATGTTTTTATATATTTATAACATAACCATAATTTAAAGACTCTTTGTATAACAGCATTAAACTAAAAACAACGTCAACGGGTACTCGGGTACTCTTCCCGACCTTCCACTGTCGCCTTCCCTGGTTTTCTTACGGCATCTCGCGCGTCGCGGCGTTTTTGGGTTCTGGAGCTCGGGGGCCAAACTGGGAGGAGATGATTTTCCAACCATAGCAATGGTTTTAGGTGAAGAGATGATCTCGTTTTGCTGGCCAAGGTCCAGCAAAACCCTGAAACCTGTTCATCTCAGCCATACTGGTACCTAGTCTGATGCCCCTGAGATCAGCCCGATGAGCCCCCGACTCTGACTCTCAGCCGTGAGGCCAAGCTTTGCCGGCAGCATCTCTACAATCTCCGCCAGGTTCCAGGACCAAGCCCCTTGTGGATAGTGATGGTCGATTATATAGTTAGTTTGTTTGGGGAGGGGGTGGAAGAAATTTGGTCTTCCCACCAGGACCAGTTAGCATCACCGAGCCAGTTGTTAAAGGTTTTTGTTGAGGGTGAAGCCGGGGAGAGTTCGTGAGGTCATCAAGCAAAGTGGACGAAAATGTGTGAATTATTTTGAAAGTTGCGTTCGAATCTCCAGCAGGCAACATTGCTTCTTGGATACCTTCCAGTTTCAGGAACCAAAAATAAGGGTTTTTTGTTATTGTTTGTTCATGGTTTGGGGCACGAGAGACGTCACCTGAGTGAGAGTGAGCCAATTGCGTTTGATCTGAAGGAACGCTTCGGAGAACATGCACCCCCCTTCTGAAAGAGCGGGCCATTCCACGGAAGCAACATGAAACAACCAACAGCCACGCCGTGCTCGTTGTTTTTTTGCCAGGTTCTCGTTCGTCAATTAATTAGGCCATATAGCTCAATCCCAAAAGCCACGATCGTCATGTCAAGGCGGTGGAGGTTGCGATCTGCTCATGGGCGGGTTGAGCAGTCGACCTTCAAAGTCCACTTGGATCTCCATGACAGAACTGGGTGTCAGTTGGGTGTCCGGGTCGTCGGACGAGCCACAACTGGGGATGTGTCTGCAGGACGCGGCTTAGCATCGCGCTTGGGGTGGGGTGCCAGTGGACCATGGGGCGACTTGGAGTGGGCGCGAGATCTCGTGGGAAGAGCATTCTTAAGGCTTACAATCGTTTCAGAGTAGATGGCACTGGCAGCCACTGGCACCCCTAAGATGTCCTTTAGATAGGGGTCCATATAGACCACTCAACTTGGGGATTGTGTCATCTACTCTGAACCCACTGTAAAGATGTTCAAGAAATTGTGGATTTGGATGACATTTGAGGACGGACCTGACACCTAGTAGGTTCGACAGATCAGAAGCTCGCAGTATCGCTCAACACCACTCAAAAAGACCTTGAAGAGTGATGGCACGTGGGCGACAGCTGGGCGTGCGATGGGGGGGGGGGCGAGGAAAGCCGGAGTTCCTCCACTTTATGGCTGTGATCATCGTGTCAGCATCCACTAGCCATGTGATGTTCCTTTAAAGGGATTCGATTCGGAAGACTGCATATCATATAAATGGGTGGGGTTTCAGAGAAGGTGTGGTGTTGTCGATATGTTCGATGAGCACAGCTAATCAGCTAGCAACTGCGATAGCCAGACTTAAATCCAGAAGCCAGTCGCATCCCAAAGGTACACAGGTAACATCTGGAAGTCCATGAGTCGCGATGTCCGGATGAGGAAGGACGTCCTTCCCCATCTCCGGATGTCCTGCCATGGCTCCTTCAGTTTCCTTTCATTTGTGCCGCTTCTTCAGTTGCTCCTGGCCGCAAATCCCAGGTGAGCATCAAAAGCCGCTCACGAACAGTTTGAACAAACTTGTAAACTCCAACTTGCCCGCGGAAGCCAAAACTGCAGTCGTGGAAGCTTGCGGGAGCCACCATGTAAGCAAGTATAAGATACAGTACAAGTATACATGGAGAAAAATCACCACCGCTGAGGTTGAAGCTTTGTGGAAGTGTAATTATGCTTCTTTACAATATAATAAATGCCTCTAATCACTGCTAAGGAGATTAATCTAACCTATGAGCACTTTTGAGAGTCCTACGTCGTCGCTTCTCAGGTGACCAGGCGGTGGATTGGCGACGGGGAGAGTGCCTTGGGTCCCATGGGACAGTGGGGAGCCACCCAAGAAGTGGGACTAAGTGTCACTGAGCTACTAGGGAATTCCAGAGGTCCCCAAATCTGTGTTCAATACGGTTTTGTATGGTTTTGTTGAAGTATAGTTTTTGGTGTTTTTGTTTTTGAAAATACATTTATACATATTAGATCACATTATCAGTACAAAGAACCAGCATCAAATATTTGGAAAAACAATATATATATAGATTTGGCAGATCTATGAGAGTGGCGTTTGGGGCATGTTTGGTGATTTACACTTGAGGGGGTGTTTGTTTCAACGGGAAACAGCCAGTGACCGGAGCGAGGCATTGGGCACCTTTGGAGCTGGTCTTGTCTGAGCTTTTTGCTGCCAGCGTGCTCTCCAAGACGCGTGCCGCACACCGCAGACCGCCATGGGAGCCATGCACATGGCACACTTGGGTCCGACTTGTGGTTCTCAAGGGACAAGTGCAACGACTTGTCTTTCAGGTGATTGAATCCAGGGTGGACTTGGGTGGAGTTGAGTGGACCTACCGAGAGAATTGAGAGATGTGGTAAGCTCTTCTTGCAGTCTGTTGGATGGTCGATATGGTGCATTGGAAGGTGGTCATGGTCAGAATTGGGTCCCCAAAAAATATCCATGGGACATTCTTGGAATTGGATGTTGGGAGTCTTTGTTGGGTCAGCCAGATTCCGTCAGCCAGATTCGCTGCTCTTCAGTGCCAACCTGCCATTCTTAGGATCTCTCGTGAGTGGTTTGATCTTCATTTGCGTCGTTGCTGAGGCGGGACCGATCGACCCCCAGCACGGCTGGGGGACGGAAGTGGATGAGGAAATGAGCCCCCCATGAGCCTCCACTGTAAGTACCTAGAACCTGAATGACCCCTATTTTGGACCACCAACCACTCAAAATAAGGTCTTTTCCTATCAAAACAGAGGCCAAATGGGTTCTAGGTATAGCTTACAGGGTAAAAAGATCCCACATTCCCGGCGAAGCACCCGTCATTTGATCGGGACTTGGCCCCTCAAAACGACTTGGGGTTGTGCCCTGCCCTTGTGGTTGGGACCCAACCAGCGATGGTAGCTAGGGTCAAAGTGGTGCAGTGATGTGAAGCATGTGTTTGTCTTTGTTGGGTCAATTAGTGCTTTGACAACCACATGATAGCCTAGCAAACCTTAGGGATCGCAGCCACCCTGTGAACGTTGTAGCACGCAGACCGCATGAAAACGCCACAAGGGCCTTTTTTGGGACGTACCTAAGGTCCGCCCACGTTTGCCGGTGCGACAAGTACCTCATTTAATGTTGGATGAACAGCCTTCTTCCGGGTTTTATTGGAAGAAAACCTAGCAATGGACCCTTAGCTCAAGAGGATATAGGTCATCCAACAGCATTTTGCACAAGACGATATGGCAATCATCCAGAGATACTGTTGATGGACAAATCCTGCACCGCTTTGAACTCCGTGTTCTTGCCCTCCTTCTCCCTCGTTCAACTTGAATGTCCGAACTCCTGCACCACCTCCTCAGAGGCGTCGCATGGCGTCGCGCCCACATTGAATGAGGGTTTTCTTCGGGGTTGCATTGAATATGCAGTGAGGTGGTGCGGGATTTTGTCCATCAACAGTATGTTGCAATGAAAGGTATAGACCTTCTCCTCAAACCTACTACGAAGCATGTTCATTAATTGCTTTCATGTTGGTCCGCCATCAGAATTCACCAGCACAAGAGCTGTAAACATCATTTTAGCTGAGCAAACTTCCATTCTTTGGGGATGGTCCTTGTAAAAGAGTTGATCAACTCTGCTGGTATCGGAGGACAAATGCGGCAAAGTCGCATGGAACCTCCGGTGGGTCCACAGATTGTTCGAAGGTTTCGTTGCTTCCCCTGCACCGTGATGCGGATGTGTCCAGGCGTTCCCCTCGAGGGCGGAAGTTGTCGAGTTTGGGTGGACAAAAAGAGCTGCATGGCACCCCGCGCGTGTGGAACAGTGGGTGAATTCGGATGAATGTGATGAGTGGGCTGGTGGGTTTGCGCAGTGGCACACTGGTTAGCAGTTTTACCTTTTGGTTGATGAGTCATGAGAATCATGACCTGTGTTGGGCTTCAGTGTGTGCTGAGTGCCGATTGAACGGTGGAAGCCTTTGGATGCCCGCCGGTGGAAGCTTGTCGTTTGATCGAGGACCTATTGACCAGTCGGAAAGCCGAGAGATACAGAATCCCACTCCCAAAAACCAAGAATTGCGCACACAGAAAAGAAACGTCGGGTTCAATGATGTTGTCACTGTGGGGCCTTGGTTTTTAGATTTCTCGCACCCAAGTGCAAGTACCACCATCACAAACCTGTCGTCCCAAAGCAAACTATAACTAGTCAAACTAGACTAGACTAGACTTGAACTATTGGCCATCAAGAAGCAATGGGAAAATGGAATGGGTCCGAAACGTGGTTTTGCTTGGGGTGTTGTTTGTTTCCTATTCCCCCTGTCGGACTTGCTTCCGAGCATGAAAACTGCCATCTCCTGCGACAGGACCTTCGCGGCGAATGCATCGAGAAGGCGCGGTTCGTCCATTCGTCGCCTTGAGAAGCAGGACATGATCACTTTCCTGTCAGGAGAAGCGGGTCACCTGCCCCAGCTTTCTTTTTTTTCAGGGCATTGGTGTCACCACTCAAAAGCAACAGGTGGAACAAGGTTCACTTTTCTTTCCGAGACCGAGAGGGTCTGATGCCAACAGGAATCATACAAGGGGTACTTGTTAAGGGATGGAGGAGGAATTGGCCCCGGACCCCTTAGGCCCTGGCCAAAGATTTAGAGCGGAAAAGACGGGGAGGTGAGAAGGCTCCTTCAAAGAAGGTGATGATATCAACAAAAACAGATTTCATGGGTTCTTATATATCTTATATGCTCTTATATAAGATATATATATATAATTATATATATACATTGTTTTTGTTAACCACATGTTTTTGGAACATGCAGTTTTATTAACCAACGCTTTCAACTTTCCACGAGTCGCATCCAGTCGATTGGATGTGGGTCGGCTGAAAAAGGTGCGCAGTGGAGTAGTGTGTTGTTTTTGCGTGAATCCAAAAACCTGAAACCGTGGCCTTGACCCATGAGGTCTAGGTGCAAATACAGCTGGTGAGAGCTCGCCTAGCCCCTAGGCCCTAGCTATGATGTTTATTGGTTCTTCAAGACCATCTCATGCCTCTCCTTGGTCCAGAAGTCCTTTGGTTGAAAGTTGAAACCCATGTTACTTCAGAGTTTAATCTTTCTGGCACAGCTTTTGAGAAACCCCGTCCCATGATCGGAACCACGGTAGTTCTAACGATGTGGCCACACGGTGTGGTCCAGGAACCTCCAGTCAAGGAATCTCGTTCTACTCGACTCTTCGACCTGCTCAGATAAACCAAATTTCACGATTTTAACTGGGAGCAAGAATGCTACTAGGAGCAAAGGGCATCGCTACTAGGAACAAGAAGGTACTAGGGGCTCCTGGCCGTACTACTAGGAGCGATCGGACGCCACTAGTAGCAAGAATGCTACAAGAGACCACTGGAACCGGTCGCCTTTCGACCGTGTCCTCATTCATGCGAACTGGATGTCCGACCAGGATTCGTCCGGGCGCTCCATTGTCCATACCCTGGTGAGGCCCTGGTGGGGGCCCTGGTCCAGAAGACTTGGGTTTTGTAGATAGGAGCCCCTCTGACGTGGATCGTAAGTCCTTATTACATGCTTGCACCTTCTTGGAGTGTCCAACTACCCTCCTCACCACCTGCGCAGTTCAAATCCAAAGCCTGCCACTACCTGCTTTGTGCCCTTGAGGCCTCAACCCCTTCAAGCCCACAAGTACCACCTCAGCCCTCCGTAGTGGAAAGCTCACCAAATTTCAAGTCCGACCTGCAGTGTGTATTTCACGCTCTTCGGGTTCTTCACTGTCCAGCAGTGTATGAGGGGTATTGTGTGAGTGTGTTTGGCTAAGGGGAAGGTTCCTGCCTGGCGCGCCAGGCAGTTCTTTCTCGGATTTTGCTTTGTTTTAAAACCTGTGTCCGCTTGGCGTGCCTGGCTGGGACACCCTTCTTCGCCCTTCTTCGCCCACCAAGGTTTAGCCCTTCGCTCTGTCAAAGACAGCGAGGAACCGGATGGGTGGGACGGTGAGGGAAACGCTGGCAGGGTGGGATGCGGAGATCAGCGCCCTGTAACTTGGTGAAGGGTGTATATTATATAGTGGATGGCGTTTTTACTTTTACGAATGACTAGGACCGGGATTCTAGTCAAGTGGCGAGGGAGATCAAAACCCCCAGGCTTGCATGAATCCAATTGTAGCGACATTGTAGCGACATATAGTTAGTCAGACTTCAATAAATGTTATCGACTGTCGCTGGGAAGATTGATCCAAGTGAGGACTGTGGTGAAGCAACCGATTCAGGATGGAAACTGAAGTTTTATACTACTGCTGATACTTTTTGAAGAATAGGCATTTGGGTGTTTGGTGGGCTATCTTCCAAGAGTCTTGAGGTTGTGGAAGGTTGGACACCCATTCTGTAACTTTCTGAATTGGCACAGGGGCTCTTTGGATTGGAAACCATGGGCTATTAGCGCTTAATAAGACACTAATAAGAGTCTATCAATGCAGGTTGAGATTTGATCTACATGTGGCGGGGGAGGCCCATGCAGGGGACCATCCAATGACTATGAGCTAAACAACGAGAGGGCCGTTCCAATTCCTTTGACAACCCTTCGGCACGGCAAAATTGGGCTGAACCGGCCATACACCAGTCGGTCGGTGATGGTCGGTCGCCGCAAAAAAGGGGCGGTCCATCGTGGGAAGAGGAGCTTCCACATTCCACATGCATTTTTCATCACCAGGTGACCAGCTTTGACATGCCGCGCGCGTTGCGCGCGTGCAGGCAGCTCAGAGGCCGTAGGGCCTCAGGGTCCTCAGGGTCTGGGTGATGCTGCTTGGCCAATCAAGCTTTGAGGACTCGGCCGAGCTCGCATCTTTGTGAGCAGTGGAGTCTACTAAGGAGATCGGACAGGGCAGAGCACTGCTTTGGCAAATCACCCCAAAAACCATCCAACACACTTCGAACTTGGGTTTTCAGTTAGTTCAATTGCCACGATGGGAAGGAAGGCGATGGAACAGCAAGGTGAAAGGGTCCGGTGACTTGAAGTGTTAAACATTGTTTCACTCGCACTGCACAAGCGGCTGAAAATGCATAACGCTGAAAGTGGCTGAAAGAAAATGGTTTGAGGGGTAGGTAGCATGAAGAACCATGGAAACAAAAAGAGCACATTGGACAGCGTGTTCAACAGTTCCAAATTGTTGCAGGTACACACGGGTGATCAATCCGTGCTTCCCACTCCAAGGCATAGCTTCGTTGCACTGAGTTTGCCAAGGAGTGCTCAGTGCCCCTGCTTGTGAGACTCTTGTCAAAGTGAAAAACGTGAAGGTGGGGAACCCTTAGAATCAGGGTGTGACACACACAAGACGCCGTGATCGGCGCACAGAGCGAGCGGTGGAAAACGCGGGTCTTTTTTCTCAAAAACCGCCTGCACGCGTGCAGGTCATGCCCTTTTGGGCGTAGAGGTTGACCAAGGCTCTGAAACCTGAGATCGTATAAAGTGAAAAAATTAAAAGTTGAAAACTCAGCATGCAATGTGGTCTCGTGAAAGTGAGCATGCATGCGTTGATCATCGGTCAAACAGCTGCGGGTAAAGAATTAAGGAAAAAGACACTGCACTACATGAACGAGGGTCAGGGCTTTGTGGGTGATCTTCCGTCGCTTATAGCCCGGCGGCTCGAAAATCAGGAAATTCAGAGATGGAATTGAGTAAAACAGTTATGAAAAAGGAGGGTCGGTGATTTCCAGTATGAATTCAGCGCCTCCTTGCGGAGGATCACACCCAGTACCCGAGTGGGAAGACTGAGCGGGTCACACTTCGAACTTGGGTTTTCAGTTAGTTCAATTGCCACGATGGGAAGGAAGGCGATGGAACAGCAAGGTGAAAGGGTCCGGTGACTTGAAGTGTTAAACATTGTTTCACTCGCACTGCACAAGCGGCTGAAAATGCATGACGCTGAAAGTGGCTGAAAGAAAATGGTTTGAGGGGTAGGTAGCATGAAGAACCATGGAAACAAAAAGAGCACATTGGACAGCGTGTTCAACAGTTCCAAATTGTTGCAGGTACACACGGGTGATCAATCCGTGCTTCCCACTCCAAGGCATAGCTTCGTTGCACTGAGTTTGCCAAGGAGTGCTCAGTGCCCCTGCTTGTGAGACTCTTGTCAAAGTGAAAAACGTGAAGGTGGGGAACCCTTAGAATCAGGGTGTGACACACACACACACTCCTGGAGTGAAGGATGTGAAGGGTTTGGCGGATTTGGCGGTGGCAGACAGAGCGCAAGTACTGTCCAGAGAGCAACCCACGTGTTTCCATTAATTTACCACAGGTGTGGGACCTAGGGTTGCAAGGATGTTAGAAGTGCATCAAAGTGCATGCAATTGAAGTTGTCAATAACCTGGTATGAACACCTTGACAAAGCTTGATACGGAGAATTTGTCCTCAACCCGGAAGGGAAAAAGACAGGGAGTGCTATTAGTACACCGCTTTGTCGAGCATCGTGGTCGTGGCGGGTTGGAGTCTAAGTCCAGACGTCTTTGGCCTCAGTCCAGCGGGTCGTGCTCCGCAGCTATGCTTTTGCTTGTGGCACAACCCCAAAGGGCATGTCCAAGCAACTGTACACCCAGAGTCAACAACACAAGTCACTGCACGACCTCCGCATGCAGTGGTCAATGGAGCCAGGTTGGTGCTGGAAGTGTCACAGACCCTAGTAATCTAGTATCACCTAAATTCCAACTCAGCAGAAGCCCCCACCGTGACTTGGTCATGGCTTGGTTTATAGGAATGCTGAGGAAATGGGTTAAACAACAAACAGGTAACGTGCAGGCTA